TGAAATTGTTTAAAATAAAAATGTTCAAAGAAGATTTTAGTACGAATGACATTGCCACATTATTTAAAATTAAAATAACTTAATTTTTTAAAAATGAAAATGCCGTGGTAATAAATTTTGTATAAAAATATTTCTAGTAAGATTAGCATTTTTCTCATAAATTTTTTTAGGATAAATTACGCTGACTTCTCTCAAGGTTTGAAAAAAATATGGTAAACCTCACAAGTTTGATATAATTACACTAAGTTCCTCTAAGATTTTAACTTATATAATATTTGGCTCCCTTTTTATCAGAAATTCGTTAATCATATGAATGAAAAAATGATATTATGTATATTTTATTTCCTATATCCTAGTATCTTCAAACTATCTACATTAGTTTTAGTCTCTTTAACCTTATTGCACTACAAAAAATTAAGGTTTTATATACCAAAATTTAAGGACAAAATTATTTTTTAGGAACCAAATAATTTTGTTTCGAAAAGTGTCGTTATTATATTTTTAACAACAAAAAATTAGACATTAGTGATGAATTGTTATCTTTTTGGGACCAAATTTTTTGTTTCAAAAAATAAACCATTTTAAAACCAAATTATTTTGTCCCTAAAAGTTTATTTATTAGTGACATTTTCAAAATTTTGTCTCTAAAAGCCTTGTTTTTGACTTTTTTGGATAACATTTTAGCGACTATCCTCATAACGATGGAAATTAGTCCCTAAATATATTTTGAAACAAATTTTTCACTTTTAAAGACCAAAATATTTAGTCTCTAAAACTCTTATATGTTGTAACATTAGAAGAGAAATTAATATAATTATGTCAAAACTGTGATAATGTTGTATTTCTCTAAATCTTAAGGAAGTCAGTGTGATCTATCCATTTGTCTACAAGTAAAGCAAAATGTTTGGAAAACAAGATTGTAATTTTATGGAGGTACAAAAGCGAAAGGAATCAAATTCCTATGACATAAGCAAGATGTTTGGTTCTAACCTTAATGCATGGTTGAACTCTTTGATAGATCCTCGTACTGTGATGTGCAGAGGCTTTAAAAAGAACTGAAACTTTATTCTTTGAGTGTGAAGCAACTCCAAATAAAGTGAGAGATTAGATCCAAGTTGGACTCTCGCCAGGCTAGTCATGGTGCACATATGATTATAGGATCAACTTTCAGGCTTCAGCGAATTGTACCTAGTTTTAAGAGTGTGAATTCAAATTTCCGCTTGTATGAGAGCTCTTAACTTATTGCTATATGATTAAATGATCCTGTTGCACTATTTAAAGGTAACTTCTAAGATCTCAACTCCTTAGAATCTAATTTCAGAGTTCAGTCTTTCTGTAATTAAACCTTTTAAGATAGGCAAAAACCTAATCCATTTGACATATAAAGTAAAATAATATTAAATAATGCCATTTATTGTAAACTACATATTCCAATATTATGCTTTAATTTTAAACTTTGACCGTCATATTACCGCAAGAAGGGATAATAATAATAATAATAATAATAATAATAATAGAAGAAAATCTCGTTGTAACCCTGGCTAATGAAGGCGGGACATTTGGTAACACACAATAATTTGTTTAATCATCAATTATTACAAATAAAAAAAATAATAATTTTTTTCTTGTTTAGACTGTTATTTTCCATTCGTATTTGATACAATAAATGACTGTCATCGATGGCATGCTTGATTGTATTTTCATTTTGCCTGCTCTTAATTTTTTTTTTCGGAAACAAAAATAATAAAAAAATTGAAAACATGTATCAGTTTTTTTTTTTTTTTTTTTTTTTTATTTTTTACAGATTAGGTTGTTTTTAGACTTTTTTTTTTTTATCAAAAATAGTTTTCCAACTAAGTAATGTTATTTTTGAAAAATAAAAATAGGAAATGAAAACACAGTCAAACATGTAATTTTAACACTTTACACAAGCCATAGTTGCAAATCAGTGTAGTAGAACACAATATGTTACAACTTAATTACTTTCATATATCATATTATATATTTAGTTTGATAAATAAACAACATGAATAAAGATGATTTGTTAATTACAAACAGAGATTGCATTTCTCTTCTAATGACAACATGTCATGCTTACAAGTAAGTATTTTTATATTCTCAATTTATATGAATAAATAGACATGAATTCTAATCAATAGTCAGAAATTAAGACGTTAACCTAATCATGGGACTCGCCTTTATTAGGCGAATAAACGTCATTAAATGAACATCGGTCAAAATCCAAGGGAAGTGAGCCAATCAAAAGGTCACACCAGATCCGACCCACTAGGCCCAAATGGGTCCCTAATAGCAAGGCAGCGAATCCAAGGGAACTTACTGAGGCTCTAATTTAAAAATCGAAGAAACGGAAAAAAAAAAAAAAAAAAAAAAAACCAAAACAAATTTTTTTTTTAAAATGAATGAAATAGAAAATTATATCTAGAATTTACTGCTATGACTACGTGGGAATGTCCTGACTTGTAAACTACCCATATTTTATAAAATCCTTGTTTAGATGACAATGGTAAGTTGTTATTTATATGGTTTTGATGATGTTCTGTTACCCAAGTTCAATGGTGTGACAGATACTGCGAAAATGGTTAAGAAATTTCATGACCGCAACACCCAATTCTCAATAGGAACCGGCTGATATTACCGATACTAATACTCTGCGATCGATACCGTTACGTTACTTGATACCGTGATTTAAAACTATGGTTGTTTCGAATAATGCTATTTTCTATATTTTGATAAGCATTTATAACACATATTGTTTGTATTAGTAGTTGAATGAATTTGTTGTTCAGAAATACACCAGCATGTTCTTGTGCCTATAAACAGAAAAATATAGTCCCCTTATTGTGGTGTTAGCTAATTGTTCATGAGGTTTATGTATTTTGTTCAATTCATGAACATTGCTAGAAGTTAATTTCAATTAAAGAAACTGGATATTGTAATATTTTGGGAGAAAAATATACTTAGGATGACTAAAATGTTAAGAAGATAAACAAAAGTCCGTTTTTTTCCCAAATGATGGTGTGGGTTTGTGTGGATTTGGGTTGTGGAAGAAGGTTTAGGTGTGGAGATGACAGAAGGGAATGGGTGTGGTGAGTTGAAGGGCATTTGGAGAGGAAAGTAGAAGAATGAAAGAGAGAAGAGGAAAAGACCATTTTGCCTTTTAAAATTGGTCAATGTATCATAATGACCCTTTTTTCATCAAAAATTCGGGGAGCCATTTTCAATTGGACTTACAGACACAAAACGAAGAATTAAAGGGAAAATGTGTTGTAATTCAAATGCAACAAATTGACACACATGAAAACCTTAGAGATGAGACGGTGTTGTAATTTGTGACCCAAAAAATTAGAGACTAGACGGTGTTATAATTTGTAACCCCAAAAAAAATCCACTTCAAATGCATGCAAAAACAAAACAACTTGATTCTTTAACCTACTGTGGCTAGTGGTTGAACACAGGACTAGGAGCTCTACTATTTTCGGATAGTTCACATAGATACATGTGATTTCGTATTTGGAATTTATTTATAAAATCTTACACTGAATGACATGGTGAACTGGTTAGAATTTTTCAGCATCAAAAAATGTAGACAAAAACCAGGTGTTGGCAGAGTGAAATGGATATCATTGAAGGAGATAATTCTTTAGCCAGTACATAAAATTCAGTAGCTAATGATTGAACATACGGCTAGAAGCTCTACTACTCTGGGATTCCAAATTTGCTAAAGTTGATCACAGTGAAATGTAGTTTTGTTTTTCTTCCATAATCGTCCAACATTTTGCGATGAGTTGTAGAAGGCACATGTAACAAAATGGTACTGTTCAAGTGGCTGGCCATTTCACTTTGCGAACACCCGGTTTCGTCTGCAATTTTTTTGATGATGAAGAATCCTATCTGATTCACCATGTCATTCCGTATAAGACTTGATAGTAAAATCCGGATATGAAGTCATTTAGGAGTTTGGATTTATTGAAGTAAAAAACTGCAATTTCACACTAAAATCGATCCATTATCTGACTAATTCGGATTCATTTTAGTGATCGAAACTGTTTATTTTATTCAACTAGCTAAGAAAATTATCAATACAAAAAATCAAATTGATCCAACATCGATTGTCATACTATTAGACAATTTTTATCTATATGCCCTACATATTTTTAAGAATAGACCGTTCACGTGTTATAATACATATGTGATTTGATCATGTGATTAATTTTCGCATATATGTTCTTTTCAACTTGTCATATGAAATAAACAGTTTAAATTATTAAAACGAGTCCAAGTCAAATAATAGATCAACTTTACCGTGAAATTGAAATTTTTAACTTCAACAAATCCAAACTCCTGAATGACTTCATATCCAAATTTTTCTATCAAGTCTTCTACTGAATGACATGGTGAATCAGATAGAGTTCTTCGTCATCAAAAAGTTGCAGCGAAACCAGCTGTTCGCAAAGTGAAATGGCCAGCCGCTTGAACAGTACCATTTTGTTACACGTGCCTTCTACAACTCATCACAAAATGTTGGACGATTGGGGAAGAAAAACAAAACTACATTTCACTGTGATCATATGGTCTCAATTACAATTTCAATTGCACAGAATCTGTTTACAGAATTGTTTACATAATTGAGCACAACTTTTTCACACGTAAATCCCACCAAATGTATGAGTCCCACCTCCGTGTAGGAAATGTACAATTCTGTTATCTACTATGCACTTAGAAGAAGAAGAAAAAAACAGTGATTTTGGAGAATGTTGAATCCACAAGAATTTTTTGTTTGGTGGTTGGTTCCACCTCTCCCTATCAAATATGCAATCCCCACTTTCTAGACTTAGCAATTTTGAATATTTTAAGAAATGTTTCATTTTCCAAATTGAGTAGTACTAGATGAAAATCAATTTTTCTTGATGGTCAGAATTCATGGCAAGCTCACATTTTTTGAAAATTCCCCTTAATCTTCTCCATTGAACAAATGATCAAATCAGAACTCATACCCATTAAAAATATAAGCAGTGTAATTGGAAAGTAATGGTAGCAAAGAGAGAATATGCTTCAGAAAACTTGTTTTTCATTCTTTGTTCAGCATTTATTCTCAAAGGCTAACAAAAGATTACGACTACGAAAAAAATATTGCCAGAGTCGGTGAACAAAATTGCATGATCAGAAGTTCTAGACCTCATATATGTCTTCTGGCAATACAATAAGTAAAAAGAATGGCCAAAAGCTAACATGTTCAAATCACATACTTTTTAAGGTTGTTTACCAGAAAAATTAGCAGAGGAAGCAGAATCATAAACTATCTCTTGGAAAATTCTTGGCTGCGCTTGGCGGCAGCAACAACAGCATTCATGAGGATCCCACGAAACCCACCCTTCTCCAACTCATGAATACCGGCAATGGTGGTCCCGCCAGGTGATGCAACATCATCTTTAAGCTGGCCCGGATGCTTCCCTCCCTTGCTAACCATAGATGCTGCTCCCAATACCTACAAACAAAGAATTTTTAATTGTTCCAGCACCATGTGCATATTGTGATTATTACCACAATGGGCTTTAAAAGAAGGCTACTAGTCAATTTTTTTGTGAGCATGAATTCAGATACTCAAGTCATTTAAACTTTGAAACATCAAAAACAATAAAGAAAAATATATATATATATATATATATATATGTGTTGAGAGTTGTTGCAATGAAACTGTAGCCAGCAGGATCTCTCTGTCTCTCAATTTGCATCAAATGATGAGCGAGGTTGCCTTCTGCATTTTGGCTTAAGAAACACTGTCCAAGCCATGTCCCAAATGTTTCCAGCCCAAAAAATTAATAAAAAATTTGGGCACATCTTTGTGGCATGTTCAACATATCTCCAGCCACGTCCGAGGTGTGTCCATGTCCAATATGTGGTGGACCATTTTGGCGTGTCGTGTCCATGCTTCATAGCCTATACGAGAAACAAGAGAATTTCCAACCACTGTATGATTATACCAAGGGTCACACTTGAGCCCATATTTATTTGCCTTAGTCATGGATGAAACGGCAAGGAATTCACACTAAACTAGAAACCTGGAGAGAAGCACTGGACTCAAAAGGGTTTAAAGTACGACTAAAACTAAATAATGCAACTTTAATGACAATAGAATTAGAAATAGATGGATGTAAATATTCAAAATTGGAACTCTAGGAGATACCAAAGAGTGAACAATTTCATTACTTAGGTTCGATAATTAAAAATGATGGAAAGGTTAGAGATAATGTGACTGATAGAATTAAAGCAACTTAGCACAAGGGAAGGAGTGCTTATGGCAATTTTGCCTTCATAATAGTCAATTCTAAGGAAGAATTCGATCTTACAAGATGAAGGTGAGATAGAGAGAATGGCTTCGATCTTTTTGAAATTGTTTAAAGAAAGGATAGCTTGGCCCAATGATAAAGACTTGTCATTAGTGTCCTTGTGGCATGGCTTTGAGTTGAGGAATAGCTCTCCAAAATTGGGAGCAAAGTTGCGGACCTCTATTTTGAATATAGAAACTAGAGTATTATGTTAAATATAAGAATTAGAATAGGAATTAGAATATTTTTATTTTGATTGTAGGAATCTCTTCTTGTTTATATTGTTTCCTAAAATTGTATCATGAATATATTATATATACATGGCTTCTACCTCATTCAAGGTAAGCCAATTCAATTTTTTTCATTTATTTGGTATCAGAGCCAAAGCAAAGAAACCCTAGCCTTCTATAACCATCGAATTGTACTTCAAACCGTCGAATTGCTCCTCCGGAATCGCTGATCATGCTACCTTATAAGTAGTTCCACTACGCCTTCACTTGCAGTTAGGCTTCCCCCTTATAT